AATCTCATATCCCAACAAGAGCTGGGCATATCAACGCATCTGGTGGTATCGGAAAGCAAAAGCTCGCACCATCGCAATGCTAAATTCGAGCGCAGGGACAATTCAACATCGTCATATCGACGGCTCTCCATCATTGCCGTTGGTTCGAATGATCATGAGTCGAAGCATGACCACAACGGTTTCTTCGTGGTCGTCTTCTTCCTCTTGGCTGTTTCGTTCCCCTTCTCTCCAATGTCCGCCGTGCAAGCATCCTCAATCTTCAGAGCGAACTTTTCGTCAAACTCATCACCACTGGCGATTTCGCGGATCTCAAGCTCCGCGTCGCTGTCCTCGTCACTCACATCCATCCGAAACCTCCGCACGCTATCCTCGTCGCTGTCACCAGTAAAGAAAGGTCGTCTTCCATCCTTTTTGCGCAAACACTGAGGCCACACACGACGCACAAATCCTCGGACGCCGGAATGTGCGCGGTCGATTTTCTCGTACTCGGCCCGGCGTGTGGCATTCGATGTCCACGATATGACGGTATTGAGTTGGGGTCTCTGTTGTGCTCTGGAAGTGTCGGTGGTAATTGAGCGAGTAATAAGAGAGCTACGTTCGGAGATTTGGGGATCGAATCCAGATGGTAACGTTGGTGAAGTATCAGGGCTATTTGTGGCGTAGGGATTCCCATGAGTAAAGGGGTACTCGTTGTACTGGTTCTGAGGGGTTGCGGCAATCAACCTTTGGTCTATGTCATCGGGCACCAGCGATGCATGGCGAGTTGTTGTTCTCGAACTTGACACGCTCGGCAAGGGTGTGATGTCTCTGCTCATGGCCAACATGCCGTCCAACGAGGAGAAGAGATGGTAACTTTGAAGATGAAGTGTTGCTGAATCTTTGCGAGGCCGTTGCTTTTGTTTTTGCTTTGGCAAACTGCTGCGTCTGTGCGGAACTGTAATAGGATCCTGTCGCAATGACTTCGAGCGTGGCTTACTTGGTGGCTTTGGCGAGGGTTTAGATGTCGAAGAACAGGTCGTACCAGACCGTGGTCTCCCACTGGGAATATTGTTATGCTTTATTAACGACGTCGTAATCGTGGAGTTGACGTCTGCTGTCGTCATGCTTCGATATCTCGAACTCTCCTTCGTTACAGTCGAGATGGCTGAGTGAAAGGACTCGGCGTCTGATTCGTCTATTCGCTCATCCATGGTGGTCTTCGTCTCACATCGACAATTCATGATTCGTTTCGTCGTCATCGCATGCATAAATTCTGTAGTCGAAATAGCTGAAACAGGTCGCGAATTTGGTCTGGCCTCCAATTCGTTTGAAACGCAGGACAATGGAAACGAAGTCGAGTGACTGGTACACAACGGCGGCTGAAGCGCCTAGTGAGAGGGAAACATCACCAGCAGCACCGCCAGGAAGCCCAAGCGTTTGAGCGGCAAAATGGATACCTTCAAGTCGCAATGGAGCACAAATTATCGCACGGTGCAAGGAGTTTTCCAAAGCATTCCTGGCCCAGCAAAACAGTTTGAAACACCATGAAAGGAAGGACAGCCATTGAAACACGAGACAAGATCCCAGAATTGCGAAAACACTCAGGCAAAAAAGGTCATGAGAGCGGGCCCAAGAGCTACAGTCACCTTTTCTGGATAAGCAGAATGGTAATTAGCAAGCCGACAATCATCAACCACGCTTCTGCACGTCTAAGCCTCGATGGCGAAGAACTTTGCCGCCACTTGACGTGGTCGTCTGCAGGCAGAGATTGGTCGAGAAGCGACGGTTTGGACAGCTGCAAGGGCGGTTGTTGATGCAGCTGCACGAGCCCAGGCGCCGCAGTGGACCCCCATCGGCGACAGCACTCCGACAGCTCCCTTGAATTTGGCGCACTTTGGCCGGAAAATGCAGACCATGTGATGAGTAGCGATTTGATAAGACGATTCGAAAATCGGAAAGTGCGCGACGATGGGCGACTGGCGGCTGTTTGGTGGACAGGCTAACGATGCAGAAAGAAGGCATGATGGGAAATGGATTGGTAACAAGTGCGGCGGCCAAGTGCGATAGACTCTTGGTGGCACCCTGCATCTCGTACACCGCCATCTCGGGCCAATCAGGCCGCGGAGTGTGACATGCTACAGTTGCCGTATATCCAGATGACCTATTCTTGCTGTCTCGAGTCTGCAGCCTCTGGCCTGGCGAGATGTAGATCGAATGCCAGTTTTGATACTCGGTCACTCGACAAAAGCAAGATAAAGGGGTGCAGGTGTCTTGTTTCAGCTCGCCAGCGATCTTCTGACCGCACAGTGGAGGGCAGGCACGATGCTAGATCCGAAGGCACAGACCAAGTCTGCACCACGCTCACGTTCGAGGCAGTCTCCCAGATGATGTTGAATCACGAAGCCAAACCTTCTCCGTCAACCAGAGTGCGGCTTCTGCTTCCAATTCTTCCAGCCTTGAGTGATTGCAGGAACAGCCATCAGCATCGAAACCATTGTAGCCGCTCCTCCACACGCGACAGGCACCAGCTGACTATCCTTACACGCCTGCAGATAGGACGTCAAAATGCCAGGAAGCTGGTCCTTTGGAAACAACTTCCTGATCTCCGTCACTCCGACGTTGACCACTGTCTCAGTGTCGAGTTTTGGCACATTCTGCCGAAGACCTGATATCAGCCCATTCGTGAATGCCGCTTCCGTTGCAGCAATGAAGATTGACGTTCCAATGTTCTCGAAGAAAAGCGTCATCGAGGTGACTGCAGCCATGTCTTCAGTGCCGACCAGTGCTTGATTCGCAACCATAGGCACTTGTAGTGCAAGGCCAACGCCAATCGCGGTGAGTGACTCGAAGCCTATCCAAGTTTGGACGCCAGCACTGGCGTCAAGGGTGTGCATCATGATTACACCCATTGTTCCACCAACGGCGCCAACAAGGAGGAAAGGCGTGTAGTGTCGCCAGAAGGTCAATATACCGTTGGCGATCATGGTGAATATCGAAACGCCCAATAGTAGGGGGATCAAACGAAGACCACTCTGTGACGCAGTCGCATTGCCCACGGACTGAAATTGGATCGGCAATGCGTATGACAACGGGAAAAATAACCCTGCAAGGAAGACTTGATACACCAAGTTGACGAGTATCGGACGCCTTTTCAGCAGGTGAGACTGAAGCATGGCTCGGCTTCCCATCAGCCATTCATTGACGACGAAGATGACGAGGAGGACCGCGGAAGCTGTGAGACTCGTTATTACCCGCCAGTTGTTCCATGAAGCTGCGACGGCGCCTTTCTCCAACGCTAAGACGAGGCAAGTGATAGACCCTGTTGCAACGCCGAGGTCAGCATAAGTGTACTGGAGGATGGCACGGAAATATACTTACCCAGGACGAGGAGGCTTCCACCAATGTCCAACGAGATGATCTTCTCCTTGAGTGGGATTCGGGTCGACTCAGTACTTGGAGTCTTGATCGTAAATCCGGTGATGATTGCTGCCAGCAGGCCGATAGGAAGGCTGATCCTGCAAATGGTGAGCTTGACTTCAACCGTGGTGGGAACTCCTACCAGAAGCACCAGTTCCAAGTCAACTGATCTGTCAGCACGCCTCCCAAAATTGGTCCAACAACGCTGGAGCACCCGAACGTTACTCCCACGACTCCAAAATATGCCGCACGCCATTTCGGTTTGACGCTCAAAGCGATCGTGATGAAGGCGCCCGTCATGGCACCTCCACCGCCTGCACCAGCGACAATCCTACCCAGGATCAATGTTGAGCTCGTGGAGGCCACAGCCGATATTGTGTTGCCCAGCTCAAAGATCAGGATTGTGAGCAAGAAGGTCTTCTTGAGCGAGAAGTATCTGTACTGCGCATGACGGTTGGTCAGCCCACTCCTGCGTGAAATCAGGTGCTTGGCTCACGGCTTTGCCCCATGTTGACTGGAACGCTGCGTTCGTTATGGTGTATGCCGCGCCATACCAACCCTAGAGACCGTCAGCGCCTGTACCAGCAAGACCAGCTCGGGATGTTTGAGGACGACAAAGGCATGGGACTAATGACAATGTGTTATTCGGGCGATATATGGTTCTCATGGTGCAGACTTTGAAGGGAAGGAACCACATACAACATCCTTGACTGTCCCGAATTCATCTGTGATTTTAGGTATCGCTGTAGATATAATGGACGAGTCGAGCGCCGACAGAAATATAGTCAAGATTAGCCCTATGGTGAGAAGGACAAAACGTAGCCCCGTAGGGTAAAACTCGTCCGATTGCTGTAGGGATGTGGAATCATCCTGATGCTCAGGTATAGAGGTCGATGCCAGCTGAAGCTCGAACTGCTCGTTGTCTGGGTTTCCTTGCTGTTTCATCATGGCGCTTGAGGTGTGCCGATTGCCAACAGCAGTAGATTGCGAGCCGTATGAGAGGTATCAAGCCCCTGAAGTACTGAAAGCTGTCGCCCTCCGACCGAGGTTATACGCTCATCTGGCTCTGCTCAGGAGGAAGAGAGGTTGAACTGAGTGACTCAGTGAGTTGAGGAGTGGATCTTGAGCGTTACATCCAGGTTACCTGGACCTTGAACACGATGTGTTCCCACCGTAAACACTGTTCCCGATGCAGAATCTGGCTTGACCGGATCACAGTTGTGAAAGCGCATATGCGGTCTCCTTAAAGACGCGTCCTCCAGACGTCTATCTTTGTCCCGTCCCGTGATGCCCTGTCCTGAATATTGCTCTTCCTTCCTTTCACAAACCTGTTCGACGATCCATGCGATATCGTATATCACTTCGTCGTTGCATGCGCTTGATCAGCATCATCAGGTCTCGCCTGCACGTGATGTTCATTCATGGTTACCCTACAGTTTAGCATGGCGCTACTCCGACCCAGCAGAGCGGGAATGACCGCCGTTCCTCGCCGAGGTCCAAAAATGGTGCGTCATATACCGTATGGCCGAAAATTTGGCTTAAAATAGAGCAGGTGGTGAGTGTTTTCAAATCTTCTGACACTCAACCAAATCTAACAGAACCCAGGTATGGTGTAATGGTCAGCATGTATCGTTGTGGTTATGCCTGTCCCCTAGGGCTTCCTAGGTCGACGTCAACGGCGTTCCCAGCCCCGATCCGATCCCGGTTCGATTCCGGGTACCGCCAAACTTGGTGGTAGCACTGCTCTCACGCACAACTTTTTGGTGTTGCGGACGCACTCCGTCGCGGGTGTTTCCTTTTTTCTTCCTTTGCATATGAATGCGAGAATGCTTCCTGCCCTATTGAAATTGGCTTATGGACACGACAAGTTCAGACTACCTCCATTTGATCCGTTTCTTATTCTATCGACGGGAATTGGAGATTGTGACCTTACCCTGCAGAATCGTCAGCACCTGTAACAGTATACCCAGAGTATGCACAATGACAACCAAGAGAGAACGCGAGACAACTAATGTCTCATTTTGCCTACTCCAGTTTGTCCTGCACAAGTTTTGAGGGAGAGTACAACTTACAGCGGGGTTTGAGCCGGACGTCCTCCCCTGTCGGACAACGCATGAATGGTACGTGGTAATAGGCAATATCCTGCAGAACCTTTAGCACCGCAGTATACTCAAAGTTTGCACAATGACGACAAGGAGGACAACGGAGATGATGTCTGTTTCTGGCGAACTTTGGTCTTCACAAAGGAGGTTTTGAGAGACATGATCAACTCACCGAGAATATACTCTACGGCCAGTACAAGCATTTATCAAGAAGATCCAGAACCGTGCACCGCAAGAAGGGTCTCAATCTCGAACTAGCTGCTCATTATCGACAGCTATTACATGAAAGAGCGAATGGGACAAGGGTGCTCGGGAAAGCTGATGAAATGAGCGAACGTAAGAGGGGGAGCGACGACGAGATTTAAAGCAAGTTCTTTTCGACGAGGCAAACAGAAGCCACTGAGTATAAAACGGTTAACCAAAGTTGGGGTCGACTTTGCGAAGTGCAAATAATGCTTCCTTCTGTCTGTCTGTCTAGTTTCTAGTGGTGGACTTGGTGCACCACCTTCTAACTATGCTAGTATGCAATGCTATGGTATGCCCGCTGCACACTTGCAGCCCTGCTATGCAGAAAACATGTCGTTTGTAAAGGTCAAAGCAAAGGATCTTGATGGCGGCAAAGCTCCAATCACTCCGAAGTCAATCACGAAGCCAGTGAATCAACGATCTGAGGGCGGAAATTCTTCTCCCAGTGGCAATGATCCTCAACGACATCCTCGTCAACTGGATGGGCAGAATGTCTTCCAGATTCCAGCTGGCTTCTTGCGCTCATGTGGAACATTGGCACGTGGAGACGTTCAGGGTCCGACCGGGGAAGGTGACCCTGAGAGGCGTGAGAGGTAGCGACAATAGTGTCCTCCCTGCTAGTATCGTTTGGCTTGAGGTTCGAAGAGAGAGGGGTATCGAGCTTTCTCGCAGTTGATGCCATGGTCATAAAACGTCGATTGAAAATGGGTGTAAGCTCTTGCATGAAATTCTCCGTCTAACATTGCGCATGAAATGTGGTTTCAATGGCAGGACTTGGTTTTCTCATTTGTACTTGAAAACGTAGATTCTTCGTTGCTGCTCAAGGACCAAAGGTGTGAGGCGAGTCCAAACGAGGTCCATGGAGATTCGAATCTCCGTCTGAACTTGCACAGGAAGAGCTCAGAATGTCCAATTTTCGTCGACGGATTTGATGGCCCACTCAAATTTCTCTCGCAAAGTCTTTGAGAAGAACTTCTCGATCGGGACATTGAACTTCTTGCTGAAGACGACAGTCAAGCGCGGATCAATGTAGTTCTGCGTGAAACCAAATTAGTAATCATCCCCGAATGAATGACACGTGTGCTCGAACTTACGATCTTCGAAGTTCCCAGTGCCACCTCTTTATTGTTCTCCTTGTCCTCTGCCTGGATCGCCATCGTAGCAATCCTAGTATCGAATTTCTTCACCTGCTCCTCGAGCTTCTCAACTGTCGGTCCCTTGCCCTCGGCCTCAACCTTCTTCGTCTTGTTCTCCTTCTTCATCTTCTTCTCGAGGTCTGTGGCGGCCTTAAGGCGTTCGTCGAGTTCCTTAGGTTTCATCTCTTTCTCACCTTCAGCTTTGAGCTTTTCATTTTCCTTCTCGAACTTCTTGGTGATCTTGGTCTTCTCTTGCTCGACGAGGAAAGCTTGGTGTTCCACGATCCACTCTTCATCCAGGTCGTCGGGCAGCTCGAAATACTCCGCGCCTTTCTTCTTTTTGATCTTCGGATCGACATCAATCATCATCTGCTTGACGCGCCATTGCTGATATTTGAGACCCTTCAGTCGATCGCCCAGCTTCTCCATCTGACCTGCGTGACCTGCTCCCACAGTTCGCTTGTGGTTGCAGAGGATTGCGACTCGTCGATTGGCGTCATTGTAGTCTTTGACCCTTTCAGGTATGGTGCCTTCCGACTTCATTTCGGAGAGCAGCTGGGACATGGTGAATGAGGCATTGTAGGTACGAAAGACCTTCGCGGTCAACCCATCCATGTAGCCCTTGAGATGTTTGTTGAGTCCAGCAGTGGTGAGGCGGTCGAATAGATCATCTCCATCGCCCTTGGGTGGCCGCTTGAAAATCTTGAGGTTCTTGAAGACCTGTGCATCGACTTCGAACTCTTCATGGAATCGAATGCTGTCCTTGCCCAAGAAGTCAAAGATGACGACATTCGGTGGTCGCAGAGTGACATTTTCGTACTTCAGGGAGCAACAGCCAACGGTGTCAGCCTCCTCATCACCTTTTTCATTTCCCGCCCGCAAGGCGAATCGATCGATGAGGTACATAGCAGTCGCTCTTTGCCGTTCGGCAGTTGCCTCTGCTTTGAGATCTTTCTGGTAGTCTTTGCGAATGCGATCGATGTGTTTCTTTAGCTCGCGAGCTTTCTCGAACTTCTTGTAGTCGCTTTGTCCCTTGACGTCCGAATTTGCGGCCAGCATGACATACTTGTAGTTCCCGTTGATGTTTTCCTGCCACATGGCCAGCCAGGTGCCCTGCTTGTCGTTCTTGACTTCTTTCCACCTGTGACCCTCGGGTGGAACAGGGACTGTCGCCTCTTTGCCAATGTTGATCGTAACCTGTTCCGGCATGACTCTGGTCTTGACATGGCCAGTCTTCGGATGGTCACCTCGGCCACGGAAAAGACTTGGAGGCTCAACACGAAAGTTGCCAACCTTCTGGCGTTTGCCGTCCCATACACAGTGCGTAAATGGGGCCTCAGCTTCGTCCTTCTCTTGCTTGAGTGCTTTCTTCTCCTCCTTCGACAGCGCCTTTTTAGCCGCCCTTTCAGCATCGTAGTGTTCGAAGATTGGTTTGAAATCGCATTTGGCAAATTCTCTGACATCTACCTTCTCGCCCTGCCTGTTCTTTGCACCGCCAGTCTTCTTCAAAATAGCCTTGAAGTCGTTGAAGAAGTTCTTCTGAAATGTTGGGTTTTCGACGTTGTGCGTAGAATTGAGCATACCACCGAAGAAGCCAGCAACTTCTTCGGCGTCGGGGTGCAGGGTGACGGGCTCACCATCGTATTTCATCTTGACGTTCTTTGGGAGCGGCTTGTAAGGTGGAGGGAACACAACACCATTGTGCTGCAGGGTCTCCCATTTGTTTGTGCCGTCGCCCTTGGTCGGGTCTTCCCACCAATTGACTTGCTCGTCATCGTCTTCCTCATCCTCTGGATCGGCACTCTCTTCCTTTTTGACGGCTTTTGATTTCGTGGCAGCCTTCTTGGAAGCTGACGCGGGTGCAGGTTTATCCTTTTTGGTAGGTTTCGGGGACGCGACCTTGGCTTTTTTGGCGGCAGGTGCTCGAGTGGACAGAGGCTTATCATCGTCGCTCGACTCCTCCTTCTTCACCTTCTTGGCCGATGGAGCTTTCTTGGGAGCCTTGTCTGCCTCTTTCTTCTCCTCCTTTCGAATTTGCTTGGCCTCCTTTTCAGCTGCCTTCTCAATCTTCTGCTTCTGCTTGGCCAGTTTCTGCCCCAGAGGAACGTCCGAGTCAGATTCTTCGCCAATTTGGTGAGCCGAAAGTCGCGGAGGCATGTGGACAATTTGGCCATTGGCTTTTGCCTTTGCCATGAGCGGGGTATCGTCTGAATCGGACTCGACAGCTGTTGTCGTTCTTCGTTTTTTGCTCTGCAACCATATCAGCCCATATGATCTTCTGGATAATATTGTGGGGAGGTGGAATAGTCGCGTACCAGTGGTAAATCGTCATCACTGCTTTCTGCGTCGGCATAGTCTGGTCGGGTGAAACTCTCCCTGACCTTCCTCTTTGAAGCTCCAGCGCCATTGACAACAGCACCTTTGTCCTTCGAAGACGCAGTGTCCTCGACCTTAACATCGCCGTGCGCTATCGAGATACCAGGCATCACTTGGCCGTTTGAGGGGATCTGGCGGTCGAGCGTGGCGTCTAGCGTAGACGGAATTGTGGCCGCAGAGAGATGAGGGGTGACTAGTAGAAGTGTGAGTTAGATGAGGTGACGGTGAGATGGAGATGAAGTGGGTTGTGCGTTGGGCGGTATTTATCCAACCAGCTCCCTGATGAGGGTAAGACGAGATGTAGGGAGAGCGTACCTCCATTTGTGCCATTGGCCATCCTCTTGCCGGCGAGCGGCATGTCATCGTCGGAGGAAGACATGATGCAGGCGAGGGACGACACCCTGCGTGTTGGTTGAAAAAAATCAAAGCCAAAGGATCGAGAAGGGCGTAATATAGGTCGAGGGCAACAAGAATGAGAAGCAAGGTATTGAAAAGGCCTCCAGAACGCGCCTCGGATGGTCGGAATGGTGGGCGAGGCTCAATGGCAGTCAAAACCCCGTAACGGTAAGGACATAAAGGTCGGTGACTGGGGGAACGATCAAAGGGTGAAATAAAGTAGAAGAGAGGAAGCAAGAGAGTTGAAGGTGACAGTGAAAGGAATGGGCGAGGCCGAGAAGAAGAGTGCAAACCAGCCAGTCGTGTTCGTTTCGTGAAGCCCAAACCGACGTCGGGGTTCCCACCCATCAAACTCTCTGATGCCCATCGATCGCGGTTGCCCACATCACGTGACTGACACTAGTTAGGCTAGCGTGGCTGAATCGGCAAGCTCTCATCGGAACCTCAGTTTTGGCATTGCGAGGTGCAC